CACCCCCAGAATTCATGCTAGATTTGGCACTTATGAAACCAATTAAGTGGTCAAAACTGGTCTTGGTTAATCTAGGGTAAGTGACAGGGAAAGTAATCAGAACAATTCTCTTCATGACTTCAAGATGTAGTTAATGTGGATAGCACAGATCCAAGTAGTTTTTTTCTTTTTCTTTCTTTCTTTCTTTCTTTTTTTTTTTTTTTTTTTTTTTTACGAGACAGGGTTTCTCTGTATTGTTTTGGAGGCTGTCGGTCCAGCCTGGCCTCGAACTCACAGAGATACGCCTGCCTCTGCCTCGAGAGTGCTAGGATTATAGGCGTGCCCCCCCCCCCGGCATTTTTTCTTCTTTTAATATTGAGAGTTACAAAAAGGCATTGCTGCCGGGAGTTGGTGGCGCACGCCTTTAATACCAGCACTTGGGAGGCAGAGGCAGGCGGATCTCTGTGAGTTCCAGGCCAGCCTGGTCTACAGAGCAAGTTCCAGGACAACCTCCAAAACAATACAGAGAAATCCTGTCTCGAAAAACCAAAAAAAAAAAAAAAAAAAAAAAAAGAAAGAAAGAAAGAAAGAAAAAGAAAAGGAAAGAAAAGGAAAAGAAAGAAAGAAAAAAGAAAGAAAGAGGCATTGCCTAGAATAAACCCCATCACTCAGTTGGATGAAAGTTCCTTCCCAGCTGACAGCCATCATTCCAGAAGCATATTGCTTCTGCCTGCATGGTGCCTCTAAGCTTGATCTCACCAAGATTAGTAGTGGCTGTTTAATTGCCAGATCCATTGGCCATCCTTTACTTCTCGGAATCTTTCAACACCGCAGATGAGCGTTTTCTTTTAGAAAAACATCAAAGAGACTTTCTCCTATTATTGGGTAAGCCAAAAATCCCTGTAAATAGAAAATGTATCCCACAGTGGCTTAGTTAAGAGAAAGTCTAGAGATGGCGGCATTTCCAGGTTCATTCAGAAGCTCAATGACACTCAGCCCATTGTTCTTGTTGTCCCCTAAATGCTGTCTCCATTGCTCCCCATGAGCTTTAGGCTCAGGTCTGAATGCCTTTCTCTGAGAAAAGAGACAGACACAGGACAAAAAGAGTTTTTTCCGCTCAAAGTGGCTTATTTTTTGAAATAGGATTTCACTTTTTAACCTGTACTAGTTTGATAATCCCTATCTAGACCAGATTGGCCTCAACTCTGTGGTGATTCTCCTGGCTCTGCCTTCTGAATGCTAAGATTATGGGCATATACCACCAGTCATGGTCTCGCTATGTAGTGTTGGCTGTCCTAGAACTTGATATGGAGACAACTTACATATATTTGACTGTTTCTGTCTTCGGAGTGCTGAGATTAAAAACATGTACCTCCATACCCAGTTTTGGCCAGTACTATCTTTTAGGCAAGAAGAATTTTCTTCAGACTAGTCTGCAAATTTCACTGGTCAGAGCTGGATCTTTTACCCACATTCAGATCTTGCAATGCCAAAGAGAAATAGGATTGCCAGAAGTGGTTTATACTAACTTGTTCTCTGAGTTGGATGGGGGAACTTGTCTTCCTTAAAATCAAAGGATCTTCTTGTACCTTACAGTTCTGAGATTATATTACTAGGAAAGGGCTTTTGGTTAAGAGGATGGATTTTTTCCTTTTAAAATCATCTCTCTGTCTCTTTCCTGAGCATGTGGCATCCATATCCTAGAGTTCCCACCACTGAATGTGTGCATACAGGCCTGGCCTACAAAATCTTCCCATACTGGGCTGGAGAGATGACTCAGAGGTTAAAGACACTTGTTGCTCTAGAAGAGTTCTGGCCCCAGCACCCACATGGTGGCTCACAACCATCTGTAACTGCAGTTCCAGGAGAGCTAACATCATGTTCTGACCTCTGAGGCCATGTGATGCACATATATACACCCAGGAAAAAAGCATAGGCATAAAATTAAATTTTTGCGGGGGAGACAGGATTTCACTGTGTAGCTCTGGTTGTTCTGGAACTCACTATGTAGACCAGGCTGGCCTCAATTCACAGAAGTCCACCTGCCTCTGCCTCCTGAGTGCTGGGATCAAAGGTGTGTGCCACCACACTCAACCCCAAATAAAAAACCTTAAAAAAATTAAATCCTTACAATCTCCATTTTTCCTTTCCTTTTTTTTTTGTGGTCAGATAAAGGGTTAGGTGGAGAAATCAAAGGCTCTAAAAATAACAAAGCTACAGAATCTGGCTTCAAATTCACAGAGATTATCTTGTCTGTGTCTCCCAGGGAAATGGCCTTAAAATAATATTACTTGAGACAGGGTCTCATGTAGTCCATGTTGACCATGAACTTCTGATCTTCCTGCCTGTACTTCCCAAGGGCTGGGATAGGCCTGGGCTACCAGGTCTGGCTGCAAGTGACTTCAGGCTCTACTCTGCTCTTCCAACTTCTAATAGCCTCATCTCCCTTTCCAGCTGCTCTGCCCTTGTCTGGGAGGAAACACTTCATCTGCCCCTCTCGCTAGTCTTTCTCCACTTCAGCCAGCTGTCTTCCTTACTACCACTTTTTTCTTATTACTTCTCTGATTAAGCCTTCGTTGATTCCCAAAATCTGAGTCTACTTGCCTTACTAATCCGATACCAAGTTTTCAGGAGCTGAACTGCAGGCTCCATCAGTGCATAGGCTGCACTGTTTCATCTTTAGTTTCTAGCAATGTCTGGCACACAGGAGCTATCCTGTGGAGATTTGTTGAATGAATAAAAGGCTGCACTAAACTTTGAAGCTTTGTTGACATACTCAGATATGATCTTCTCTGATGGTCTTCTCTGACTCCATTATTCAAGTTATGTGTATTTGTATTCAGTTTTCCTCACTAGATTGAAAACTCTGGGAGGGGAAAAGACTATCTTATTCATCTTTCAACTGAACCAGTGTCTAGGGAGTGTCTGGCATGAAGCATTTTGTTGGATAAATGAGCAAAGCAAATAACATTAGCAAGGAAAAAATACAAGACTTTAAAAAAAGTTCCCTGAAGATCATAAAACAAACAAACAAAAACAAAATCTATTAAACTGGGATGTAGTAGCACACACCTTTAATCCTAGCATTTGGGAGGTAGAGGCAGGCAGATCTCTGTGAGTTCGAGGCCAGCCTGGTCTACAGAGTGAGTTCCAGGACAGGCAAGAGAATCCCTGTCTCAAAAACACAAAAACCAAACAAAAGTTCCCTGAAGAATGAGACAGATTGAGGAAAGGAGTTAAGAGCAATGAAAATAAAGACTAATTATTGTAATAAGCAGGCAGGTGATAGTGTCAAATTAGAACTTGGGGGTCAGTCAGGAAGGGTTCTCCACAGGTAAAATTTGAGATGTTTTAAACACAAAAGGGACATAACTTGAGAGAGTACATTAGGAGCCAGTTATAGAGTTTTGGTGAAGTAGAGCAAAATATACAATTCATGATTAAAGCCTGCTTTTTAAGCAGGATCTGTTCAACCCCAGGCCTCAAGTTTCTGCCTTTTTCTTGGCTCACTAAGCAGGCATGCTCATTCATTCTTGTGTCTTGATTTTTCCAGGGCCAGCCCAATGTGGGGGGGACTTTATGTTCTCTAAACAGTCAAGAAGGAAGTTTCTGTGAAAATAAGCAAACAAACCTGTCCTGTGGGATTGAATGCTTTTGCTAACCCTGACTCTCCAGGGAAATGAACTTCCCTGTTCCAGTGTTAAGAAGAGAAACTCAAACCACTTTCCTTAAAAGGTATTGTAGGACAGTCTACAAAAATTTTTGTGAGGTGAAGGTCCAAAGAAATCAAGGATGTATAATGAGTGAAGTCTCAGAAATATAAGGGATAGAAAGGTTTTCTAGGTCTGCTCCCTCCCTTCTTGGATTCAGACAGTTGTTGACTTTAGTACCTGTGAGATGGAACACATGAACTCTTTTTTCTTTCTTCGTCTCCTTTTCTGTTTTTTTTTTTTTTTTTTTTGTCAGAGCCTTACTCTGTAGACCAACCTGGCCTTGAACACACAGAGATTCAAGCCTCCTGCTTCTGCCTCCTGAGTCCTGGGATTAAAGGCTGTGCCACCACATCCCACTCTCATAAATACTAGTCTCTAAAAACGTTCCCCATTTTAGGAGTCAACAGTTTACACAGCAGAAGGCCTATCAATCTGAAGTCCTACAGAATCTCTTGAGGCTGAGTTGGCAACTGTCTGCTAAGATAACCTAGTTTTCAATGTCCACAGTCTTAGAACATTGTGCCAGCGCGCCGTTTCCTGAGTCCGCTGCCTTTCTACCTTCTGTGGAGGTAAGATAATTTGTGTTTGCTGCATGCACTGAGGAGCTCAGATCGGAGTAGTTATTTTCTTATATTTCCTAACATACCGCAATGGGAGCGCTTCAGTATAGAGAGGCGTCGAAATCCCTTTTGCAGCTACAAAGTACTCTACATGGCAGCCTAAGCTGAGATAATTTTTCATCCTCTGGGGCTTCTCAGGTAGTCAATGTCTCCCCGCGCCGCCCAATCGCTAGGATGCGGTTGTGTGTGGGGGAAATCACACTAGTTTGGGGTGATGTCACACTGGCTGAGATGACATCTAGCAGCGGGAAAACCGACAGCCACCAGACACCGGTAAACCACCTCGGCGACTGCTGAGCGGAGGGGGGCGGGGAATCCGGTCCCCACACACCGTCCACGGTGGCTCCCCACGGTGGCCCGTCCGCTCCTGCGGCCCGCGGCACGAAGCAATGATTCCAACCCGCCCGCTCCTCCGCACTTCCGCCCCAGTAGGTGTCATGGCGCTAGGTGGCTGAATGGTTCCGGCGGGGCGGGGCCGGCCGGATGAGGGCGGTCGCTCGGGGCTCCACTTGTCGGGTCTGGCGACAACGGCAGCCGCGGAGCGAAGGGCCGGGCCGTGGCCCCGGACGGCAGCGGGAGGCCGAGGCGGGAGCGCGCGGCGCTGAGGCGGCGGCGGCGGCGGGAAGGGGCCGGGCGGCGGGGCAGGCGGGAGGCTGGCGAGGCTCCGGCCGCGGGACGGGCGCGGGGACGGCTCCGGGGGGCGGGGGCCGGGGCCCGGGCCGGCTCGTGCGGGGGGTATGATGACCCGGCGGCGGGGCCCCGGATCGCGTCTCCTCCGCCGCCTCCTCGCGGCGGCCCCGACTCGCGGCTGAGAACTACACACACCGGCGGTGAGTCAGGCCGGGCGAGGGCTTGGGGCCCGGGCGTCCTGGGGTGGGCGCCCCGAGGTGGGGCCGAGCGGGCCGCGGACTTCCCGGGGCGGCCGGCTTGCACCGGGCGCTCCTTTCGGCAGGCCCCGCGCGGCCCTGGGCGCTGCGTCCCGCTGCCTGGTCGCGAGCGGCGGGACGAGACTGTGTGCCCGGGAAAATGGGCAACTCCCCCTGCCTCCTGCCACTTTCCTCCCGAGCGTGCTGTTGTCCTCAGGTGACAGGGGCCTGTCTGGCAATCTCCCCACCCTCCGGTTCCCCGCCCCTACCCCTGGCTGCGGTGGCAGGTTCTCTATGTGAAGCTTGTGCGTGTGTGCATGTCACCCCACTGCCTGTCGCTCTAGTTCGAGCATTATCTGTGCCTTTGGGAACCGGGAAGCGGTGTCTAGAGAAAATCGTGATGGTCGGGTTGGTGTGGAAGCTTTTCTGTCCTCTTCGCTCATGTTTTGTTTTGTAATCGTTGAGTCTGTAATTTGTGATGGTGGTGAGGTTATGTGGGGGACCAACCCACCTATATATTTATGTTTTCAAGGAAAAGCTTAGAGGTCTTCTTCAAAAGAAACTTTTGCAGCCCGTCGTTACTTTCAAAGCCAAAACCAACAACAACAACAACAACAAAATCCCAAAACGTTAAAGGAAAAGATGGAAACAACGAAAAATTCTTGGGTAGGGCCCAGGCTATAAACAGCTCTGTGGGGAAGAGTCCCCCTTTTTCCTTGGCAACCGAGACCTGAAACTTGGTCTCCAGGAGCGTTGGTCTAACCTCCGGTTTGTTGTGGTGACCAGTGGCCTGTGTTTATGCTGGGCGCGTTTTCTTTCCTGTTTGGGGATGGGACTGGGAATGAAAGGGGGGTGGGGTGGATAGCCCCAAGCTCCAGTAAGTAAATCTTTATGTAACCACTGACTCAGTGGATACTCATTTTAAGATGCTCATTCTTGTCTGTTAGTGACACTTTGAGAAGTCTCAGTAGTGTAGTGTAGCCACATACTAGTTTCAAGCGTAGACTTCGCCGCCCCAGATCCCCCTTTATCTTGTTTCTTAGTAACTCTAATGAAAATAGCAGCATGGCTTCCTGCCCTAGATGAAGTGGGGTTAAAGTAAGTGCCTGATACCCTCAGCAAAACCTACAATTTTGTTCTTGTTTGTGTAAAGCTATTTTTGATTTACGGTCTTTAAGGTTTTTTTTGTTTGTTTGTTTTTGGTTAAGATTACAGAGAATGCAAACATGCCAGCTTTTTTTTTCATTTAAAAGTCTAAGGTTTTCTGTAAAACAATTAACACCTCATTTTACCTAGTCATTGTTATTCTGCAAATTATTTTGGGTATTTGCATGCAATTTTCTTAGGGTTCAGTGTTGTCATATGATGGTTTTAAGGTGCTTGTGTTGGCTTGAAGGGTATGTTGGTAAAGTATTTGAGATTGAAGCTGGAAGCTTCCAAACTGGAAAAGCATTTGACAAAAATGGTGACTACTATCTTAGACTATGTGTGTTGGTTCTGCTTGACTCGTAGTTTGTGATAGCACATGGACAGTTGATCTCTGGACATTGTATTTTACAGATTTTAGAGCAAGCTTATCGGTAATGAGATTTAAAGTCAAACCAGATCTTCCTCCTGAAAAAAAAATAATGCCAAAGTTCACATTTGTCTGGAAAACAGAATTCTTTCCTTTGTTTTTGTTTTTATAAGCGCAGATCCACCGGTGGTTTGTTGGTGGAAATCAGTGAGCCAAACCTGCCTGTAAACTTCTTATACTTGGAACTTGTGCAGCTTGTTAGTTATGTATTTTAATTGGTCTTTTTGTAATTTGAATAATTTCGTAAGCTTGAGCAGCCTGATCTGTCAATTGCCCTTTTCTTGCCTGTGTGACAGCAATCTATGATTTCGTTAGGGCTTTCCCCTACTTAGTTCCTCTTCAGTTTCTCCCTTACTATACAGTTCATGCTATTTTGCACACAAGTTAATTAAGATCATTTTCCTGAGTGAACAATCTTCTTCTTTTTGTTTGTTACTAATGCTCTTTGGTTGACCAGGCTGTCCTCGCACTCCTGAGCTGAAGGGATGGTTCTGCGACAGTGTTGCTGAAACTTCATGGTGCCTGGTGTGTGGCTTTGACTTTTGCCTTTTGTCTTTCTTTTTAGTTGTAGGAATTCAGCTAGTGTAATCATAATGTATTTCTGTAGTACATACTTTGTTACATTTATTCAGAGTGTGTGTGCAGGAGAGTTCAAATTACAGGCATTGGTTTTCTGTTTAGTGGGTCCAGGGCATAGAACACATGTTTTCAGGCTTAGCAGCAAGTGCCTCTCTACCCACTGAGCCATTTTGTTGGCCCTCTAGTGTCTTTCATAACTTCCTTTTTGGGTGCACATCACTTCAGCAGCCTTCTAAGGTTATTGAATAAAACATTGTATTTCTTTGGATTCTTTTTTGTTTGTTTGTTTTTGTTTTTTGGAGACAGGGTTTCTCTGTATTGTTTTGGAGGCTGTCCTGGAACTCGCTCTGTAGACCAGGCTGGCCTCAAACTCACAGAGATCCTCCTGCCTCTGCCTCCTGAGTGCTGGGATTAAAGGCGTGTGCCACCAGTGCTCAGCCTTTCTTTGGATTCTTTAAAGGCACCTGGTACCATGTTTTCCTTGTTGCTTAATGAAAAGAAACCAGGAGACCTGAATTCTTTGCCAGCATTTTGCTCATTAGCTCTGTGTAAAACTTATTTGGCCTTTTTGAGTTTCTTTTTTTTTTCCATATTAGAATTAGAGAATTTTAGAAAGATTCTTTTTAAAGTCTGTTAGCTATAAAAGTCTAGTACTTTTTTTCTTTCTACTTCTCCAGTCAAATACATTTCCTTCCTATACACAGGTCCTCATTTTCCATATCCCTTGGATCCTGGCAGAAGTCACCTCATTCTTCTTGAAAAAGCCTCATCTACCTCCTATCCGCCAAACCATTGTTCTCTTACTTAAGCCCTGATTCCTTTTGATCTTTGCTGGCTGTTCAGAACAGGGCCCTCACTTGGCATTATTTGTGTTTGATAGTGATCTCTACTTTGTTAATTTGACTTAGTCTTATGTTGGAAATTCTTCCTGCTCTTGCTTTCTTTATTTCAAACTTCATAAGCCTTGTCAGCTATCTCCCTTACTTAGTAAAATAATACACTTTCCAATAAAAGGCGTATTTTCTTTTGTTCAGTTGCTATAGATTTGTTTTGCAGAGCCAGTCTAAACAGGTATTGAAACTTGGGAAAACATCCTACCTAGGAGGAAAGCATCCTTTAGCCAGTTTACCAAAACATCGGAGCATTTTTTAAATGGCCAAAGGTCCACAGAGTCGTCCATGCTCTCCTTGCAGTTAATGCCACCTTTCCCACACCCTATCTTGCCATTCCAGTTGGGAAACTGGCTTGTTACACACAGTCCCATGTGAAGGAAGGAAGTACTGCCAAGGGGTGGCAACTTTGATTCAAATATTATTTAGGATTTTAAGTTTACTTTTTTGCTTCACTGTTAACTATGTTTAGAACAGTAATACATTACTACAGACAAAAGATTATAATTTCTGTCACATCATGTATTTCTCTAATTCAGTCAGAATAATTTCTGAGACTTCCCTACATTTATGTATGGAGCAGTAGTGTGATGTCTTTAGTCAGTCATGCTAGGAAATACTTGACACATACTGTATGCTAACCATTATAATGGATGCTAGTGGTAACAGAAAAGAAAGGAAAGCTCTGTCTCTCTATCCTGCTATTAAGGATCATCCTTACAGAATTTAAACTTGAGAAAAGAAGTTGGCTTTTATTTTTAAGTGTGTGTGTGTGTGTGTGTGTGTGTGTGTGTGTGTGTGTGTGTGTAGGTCAGGGACAGCTATCTTATACCGTGGTTATGGGGATTAAGCTCAGGTAGTCAGGCTTGTATACTAAGTGCTTGTATCTGCTCAACTATCTTGCTGAACCAGAAGTCAACTTTAAAATATTTTGTTTCTTAGATTTGTTTATTTTATGTTTATCAGTGTTTTGCTTGAATGTGTGTGTGGACCATGTGTAAGCCTAGTACCTGAGGAGATCAGAAGAGGGTGTCAGATAAGCTGATCTGCAGTTGCATATGGTTGTGAGCCACCATGGGAGAGCTGGGAACTGAACCTGGGTCATCTGCCAGAGCAATAAGTGAGTCAGCCATAGAGGCAACTCTCTAACCTTCCTCCCCCATCCCCAGAGTTAACTTTTAGATAAGTATAAATGGTGATACTTAAGGTCCAGAGTGGTCCACAAGTTATATGAGTTATTCCTACTGGTCCTACATTTGCTTTCTCCATTCTTCCACTCTATCCACATGGGATGTCTCTATCTGTGTATTAACTCTTCTTCCCTGTTGTTTAGATCTCATTGTAATGCCAACACCATACATGGCTTTTTGTGACCTATGTTTTCTTCATAGCTTATCACTATTTGCATTCTCTCTCTTCTTCTCCCTCTCTGTTCCTCTCCCTCTCTCTCTCCCTCCCTCTTTGTCTCTCTCTGTCTCTGCCTCTCTCTCTATGGTGTGTGTGTGTGTGTGTGTGTAGAGAGAGAGAGAGAGAGGTGGTGACATGGGAGAGAGAAAAAAATTATCCCCAGTTGACTGTAAATTCTTAGATAAAAGATGATGTCCATCTTGAATACCACTGTGTCTCTTGTGTCTAGAACAGTTTCTGGCAGACAGGCAGCAGGTCCTCTATATGTTTGTTAAGGGACTGAATTAAAGAAGTGCAACTGTAAAGAAAGTAGCGTGTGCTATGGGAGCATTTATCAGGAGCCTGACCTACTATAACGTAGCCCTAGGGAAGACTTCTGAGTATTTTTGTCTGATTAAATAACCTAGTGGAAGGAAAAGTTTCTGTTTTATGTAACAGCATACTTAATGTTCTGTGTCAAAGGGGCATTCAGGGTTAGTAGTCTGTTCACCGCTGCATGGCCACTCAAAGAC